ACATACAGGCTTTTTCCTCGAACCATTGCTCTGATACCATAAAATGTAACACCCTCTATATATCCGGTAATGTTATCATATCATCGTATTAAGCTGCGCTTAATTAAAAATGTGGAATATCTTTTTCTTTTTATTTATGACGTCATTATCATTACCAACTTGCTTAATTAATCATTTAAATAAAACCATGCCTGTATGTAAATTGTAAAAGACAACTAACTGAAATACCTTATTAATTAAAATAACAGATATAAGTCTCTAGTCACGGAAGTACAACATGTAGACCGGACAATCTACTAAGTTATACAACTCAACTCAAGGTACTAACATAAAGTGGCATGGACAAACCCCATTCTCACCCAAATAAGGCACAAGCCCAACAGAAATCTCAACATCAACAACGTAATAGAAGCAACTAAAAACATAACATCAGCAGAATATCCAGCATCCTACATGTCAGCATAATAAACAACAATATCATCAACTGAGCTCTGGCCTCCTGCCGCCAGAGGCATCAGCTCCCATACTACCTGAACCTGAAATAAGCGCCCCAAACGTGGGGTGAGATCTCTAAACAAGAAATCTCAATAAGACAAGGGGTCCTCAAGGATCTTCCACTCCAAGCTCACTTACATGTGCAATATAAATTCCAAAACAGTTTAACAATATCATTTCCAAAATAGTGCAATGCAGCAGATAATCATGTCATGTGTGTCAATACAATAATCTACTAGCCAGAGAAGTGTAGGAATACGTCTATTACCCACACAGTACGCGCCCTGCCGTACCTACCCTTAGGATACCATCCCATCGGGTGAACACCACATACATATTATAAGCCATTGCACAATACAAGCTCAAAAGCATTTCAATATATATCAAAGTATGTAACACAGCATGCATATAACCATACCCCCATGGGACATGGTGGAACCACAACATGGCTAAACCGAGGACACGAAAGCTTACATCGCAAGCTAACAATCCAAGCCAAGAGTCCACAGCTCAAAGTCCAAACACAGCAGAATCACAATCTGTTATGGACCAATAATATATCAACAACATGCTCCACAAGCATACAACATTAAGACAACGCCTTTTCTTACGTTCTACGTCTTTAGGCTTCTCACAAAGCCATAAGCCCTTAATCACTTGATTCTGACTTAGTTAAATTATCACAGAAGTTCAGCTTCCTCAAACTAGGGTCCACAAACCCCAAACATCAGTTCTGGATGAACAGTAAGCTACTGTTCTTCGAAATCCAGAATATCCAGATATTCCTCGGGGACATATCCGGATATCACAAAACCCCATATCCGGATATCTCTGAACTACATATCCGGATATCAATATCTGGATATCCATATCCGGATATTTCACGACAGAATGCAGTTCTGCATTTTCGCGAAGATATCATCCAAAGGTTCCACTTTTAACACTTCTAAACGTTAAAGCATGCATCTTTACTCTGTTTTAAGTTCACATTCCAGTGAGTTACTTGTTTAACTCATTAAACATATCAAAACATCAACTTTAACCCATTAAACTCATGATCAAGGTTGGTGACACTTACCAAAGCTCAAAACTCAGGAAGAAAGGCTCTTGGAGCTCACCATACTGCCTCTACAGTTCTGACTAACAAGGCACACGAAAATACCACACAAGATGAGTTCTTTCTCTACAAGGATCACACTTTGAAGCTCAAAGTGCCAACCCCAAGCTCCCACAAGCCAACCCTCAATGTCAGCACCTCCACACACTCAACCAGAGGCTACAACTCAGCAAGGAAGTCACTCACAAGACCAACCCACACAAGGCAATGGTGTTTAGAGATGAAGAGATGAAACAAAGGTGACAACTTGGTCACAAAAATGGTGAAGAAAGGCCATGAACCCAACCACCAGCTGACCAACCACCAACAACTCATGTAGGATCAGAATCTCTAGGGTTTTGTGCCCAAAGAATGAGTATATATAGCCCACTTAAGCCTTTAACACACAGTATTAACTTTAATTGCTACACTTAGCATTTTAATCCCAAACTCAGGATTCTGAACCTAATCAATTTTACAAGAATTATCATATTTTTATTATATTTTTTGCAGCACCTTTCCGGTACGCGCTTTTTATAGCCAATATCAGTTTCTGGCACCAGTTCTCATTATTTTAACTTGAAACTTGTTTTACAAGTCCTATATATTATTCTAGTAATATTCATGCACTTATTATAATTTTCCGGGATACTTTTTCGGTACGCATTTATATCGACTAGCAGAGCCGATATCTGCACTTTTCGTCAGAAAAGCGACTTTCGGCATTATTAACCACTTTCTATATTTATTTAAGCCTCATAATAATTATTAGGGTCAATTATGGAATTATTTCCTAATTTCACATAATTAATTAATTAACTTCCTTAATTAACGGTGCAAGTTCTTACCGGTTATATGAGCAACTAATGTGGAGTTTATAAGGCCTTGGACACTTCCACCCTTTAAGCTAACTTTTGAGGTGGTGTATCCCAAAATTCTTTCATATAGACATATAGTAATCCCAGTGCTCGGTGGAGCTCCAACTATTTGAATATGCAGAATAACCTCTCTTTATTAGAAAGGATATATATAAAAGTATATGCATATATATTTAAATAGTTTTTGATTGATTATTTTCGTAATGAATTTGGATCAAAGTATAGATAGCTTGCAACATTCCTTATTAAGGTTTATAAGCAAATTAACAGTAATGATGTGTCTATGCCATATTGGTTAATAGGTGGTTGTCAAATCGGATATTAGGTGGAAGTCGTCTTTTTTTTTTTTTTTTTTTTTTTTAATATATTGAAGAATCGAACATATATCCTGTTACATTCCCTCGTCACTAGAATGATTCTAGTGACTTAATTCTTCCTTTTGTTTGTCAGTCGGTGTATTGCCATTGTCAAGTATATTATATATTTTTTCATTGTCTTAGGTTTCTATTCAAATGCTTAATTATATAAATATATATTAATCCGAGTTTTCTCTCTTTACCAGTGGCTTTATCACTTGTAATTCATGGAGGAAGCCAGTGAACTTGATTCCGAGCGTGTCAAGCAGTATAGGAATTTGATTATCAGAGACAAGCGTCTAACAATTAATAAAGAAACTTCAACTATTTTTTTTTAGTCTCTTCAATAAGTTCATTCTTCTGATTAATCTGATTCGAGTATTGTTGGACTCTATATAGGGGATGGTTCTCCCAAGACCATTTTTTCTATTGTCAGGGCTCGAATTTGAGACATGTGATTAAGAGACACAAACTTCTTATCATTTGTGTCAATATGTTTGATAGAAAATTCAACTAATTAATTACTTCAATTTTGAAGTAACGAGTCTAATTTTTTTTTTTTTCATTTAGGGGTGAGTAAGGTTTAACTCGAATTGGTTTTGTTTTTAAACCGAATCAAATTGGTTTATTTAATTTGAACTAGTTTTATTTTTTCCTAATTGATTCATATTTCAAAACTAGTTGGAATATGCAAATTAGTTCTAAATTGATTCCGAAACGATTCTTTTGGTTTGGTTCAATTTTTAAAATGATATATAAAATCAATTTAATTCTCAAAATAGATTAAAAAATACAATTTGGTTCGGCTGAGTTATTTTGCACGGCACTACTTTCTTTTTATTTCTATATTTGTGTAGGTATTAACAAGTTCAAGTTTCGGTCATGTTGTTCACTTAAATTTTAGTTGTCACTCAAGCAGAGTGATTAGTGTTTCTTTTTTCAATTTTATTCATTTTGTTAATTGGTTTTAACTCACAACTTATGTCAAGCTTTCACTATTTAAGTTATGAGGGAAAGAATTACTACCAATGCAACAGTGTTTTCCTATTTGTATTGCTATAGAACTTAGTTTCTTCTAGTCACCCTTATTTTGATGAGGTATGAGTGATATTTGGAGTTGAAGAAAGTTCTAGGAATTAAATAAATATGCCAAAAAGGAAAGGTATTTTGCCAAGAAGTCCACTATCAATTGTAGGAAGTAATAAACGAAAAAAAGGGAAAAAACCATCTTTTAGCATGCACAGAAGTCTATAGGTTTTGTTAAAGCTACTTTTCTAATTTGAGAGTACATTGGTTCAGTGAATGAGCTGTTTTACATGATAGCTAGTGCTATGGAATCTTTGTTATAGTATTATAGTTGTAAATAGCAAGATTGGTAGTGTTATGATTATTGGTAGGATTTCATCTGAAATTTAACTTCACATATAATCCCAAAGAGAACAAAAGAATCTTAAAGTTGTTGGTTTAATGCTGACCTAGTCAGACCTCAGGATTTGACTTGTTTAAAGGATGGTTAGTTTGTTTTCTAAGAGTTGCAATTTTTAAAAAGTACGAGGAGAGACACAAACTCGAAATCAAATTAGTCGAATTCATTAAAACTTTCAACACTTACACATGATGGTATCAAACAAAAATAAAATAAAATAAAAGTACGAAAGGAAGAGAAATCTATATATAATTGCTATGTATCATAGAGAAGAAAAAGGTTCTATATTTGGTAGATGTAGTTGTATACTTCAAACCACCAATTAACACCCTAATTTCACAAGCAAGTAATGACTTAATGTTGAGAAAGTCATGGGTGAGTGAGACCAATAAAATAGTTTGTTGCAGGATACATAAGCTTCAGCATAGGCAATATTAAAGTAGAAATCAATTTTGCATAAAAAATAGATAAAGCAGAATAGGACTACGGATTATACATAACAACTAGCTCAGCAATTTTATATCATATTATTATCATAATCATGAGTCATGAGCATGGGGGAAAGCCCATCATATTGAGATCCAATGAAAATTAATGTTTGACCCGTACAATGGACTGGCAAAAACAGTGTGTCAAAACCATGTCCCTTTCAGATTGTTTTTCTTTTAATCACTGATCTTACATAAAATGCGATCATGTGATTGATAAAAGAATATACAAACTATGTACTATACGTATCATTAAAATTTTCAGACTATTTGGAGTGTTTTCATGTCTTCATCATCTTTCTGTTCGTTCAGGAAGGACTTGTTATTGTCTTCTATATTTTGTTTAGATTTGATGCACATCACTGGCTCGAATTCTGCTAACTCTGATAGTTCTTCAACAGTGCTCACAATGTGTTCCACACGTGCTACAATTTCAATAAGCAAAGAAGCTACAGTTCCCACTTGAATAACATCCATGAGTGAGATTTCAATTTTTGGAGCCAATTCTTCCCCAGAGGATGAGGATGCTTGTTCTGTTTCTGTGCCTTGGTCATTATGTGATGGGGGTGTGTTAACCAAATTTGGATAAGATTTTAGTACATCTTGGAGCTCTTGTGCAGCACTATTCATCTCTGCAACTAAAACACCAACTTCAGATGATTTTTTCATATTCCTTATTGTATTCACTAGCTCTCTTATGACCCCTGCAGAGTTGGCTCCCACTTTCAGTGAAATGTTGCTAATGTGATTCTTGACGTCATTGGTGACCTACAAAAATTATGTAAATTAATTGGTTATAAATACTTATCTTATAATCTATTTTCGTAATTGTAAATTTTATTGATAATTTGGTTTTGCTGAATTAGTATTACTTATGCATTTTAATTAAAGGCGCAGTTAGTGTCCTTTTAGTGTCTTACACTATGTCTTATCAGTAAGACATAATTATAATATGAAAATTTGTTTTTTTTTTCACTTTACATATCAGCTGATGTGATTGGAGAGAAAGAAAAAAAGCAATTTTTTGTATTAACACTATATAGTAAGACATAATATAAACACACTAAAAAGACACAACTTGTATAAATACCTTTTTCCCTTTAATTAATTATTGAAATGATGCTCTAAGAGACTAGCTTGTATTTCAATGTGTCTCTTTGATTAGGAATTTAGATATTACCTTATTTTCTGAATTAATGCATCCAATAAGAGCATCTATGACAGAAGCACAAGTGCGCATGGATGCTCCAATTTTAAGATACTGCCTCCATGGATGGCGGAAGTTGAAGTGACCATGGGCAGGTTCCCATCTTGCAAAATTAGCCTACAGTGGAACAAGTTAATTGGGTCAAACTCCAAATATTTAACCGAGAAGAGGGATTTTTTTTTTATTTCGGTATAAGATTAAAAAATTTCACTCTCAATCTCAGTTGTTTATTTTTATCCATTTAAATGCTATAATTTATTTATAATTAATAATTAATTTATGAGTATAGTTCAATAAACTATAATATTTAAATGAACGAAAATCAACATATAAGATAGGAAATAAAACTTCTTAATTTTAAACCGGAATAAAAAGATTCTTCCTGTTTAATCTATATTGGAATTTAATTAACACAAACAGTTGTAGGACATGTAGTGTGTACCATAGAATCTTCTGATGCTTTGGAACTTAGAATACACTTGTAACCTAGCAACTTTTTGTCACACACTTCATCACATACTGTTTCTTGGGCTTCGCTAGAACTAAAGTACTGAGCAACACAACCTGAAGCATAGATGTATAATTGTGTACATTATTATCAGTGGCGATAAAATTTTAGCAAGCTATTAAAAATGAAATGAAAATGAATATTGAAGACTAACCTTGTAAGGAATTGGCCAGTTTGTCTAAGTTTCCGGTGGTTAAAACATGTAGCTCTTGACCAGCCCAAATGGGGCGAATGGACATGCTGACTATTATGCATAAGATAGTGCCAATTATAACGGTGGATAACCTTTCTTGTGCCAGATCCAACAATTTATCAATCCTATAACCAGATACTGAAACCAAGCTGAAAGTGAGGATGAATATCACTGCACCATAATCAAAACGAGCCTTTATGGTGGGGATGAATCTAGAGAATGTTGCTGCAGAAGCTGAAGACACACCAATTTAACTAATCAGTTATTTATTTAATTACAAAGATAAAAGACGTATATAATTAAGGGTTTAATGTTTTTCTTGTCATACAAGATAACTTATTCATGTGATTCCAAAACGACATGTTTGGAGAAATATATTTTTGTAATTCTAATTTATTACGTGGTTATATTAGTTTTTATAAATATAATTGTTTTCTCCTAATCCAAATCGACGACTCCTTTTTGAAATAACAGGAATTAATTTTATCTTCCATGATAGGAGAAACATTGAATCCTATAAATAATGCCAATTCCTAAAGAAAAAAATAACTTATTGTTATACATGTATGGAAAATTTTATCTTGTTTAATGTTTATTACCTAAGAGAAAGACTGAGACGCCAACAATAAACGGTTCAAATTGCTTTCCAGCTCTACTAGCAACCCAATGAACACCAATGCCTAGTAACCCAGCAAGGGAAGTTCCACAGATCCTGTTTATAGATTTACATATTGTAGCACCTGCAATTTTAAATATGATAAATCAAATGAGTGAGGTTTCAATTGTTGACAATAATACAATATATTATTTTTTTGGAAATATTTCAATCAATTTATCGCTCCGCGACTAGTTCGATTCAGGGCGAGTTCAGGATTAAGACTTTAAATTCCTCCCAAAGATGATACTGGAGAGGATCGAATACTTACTCTCACCTCCACCTGCTCAGCTCTCTTGCGTCAACTGAGCTACCACTATTTGGTTACAATATATTATTTTAGTTCTATGTACAATATGGTTAGTACTTAGTACTACATACCTGCTGTGTACTCAAACACTACAACCACTGTTATAACTGCCCATATAGCATTTCCTCCAAATCCATCATACAAAGGCTTCATGTAGTAGACAAGTGAAACAGTGGTAAGTGCTATCCCTACCTTCAAGCAATGGATGAATTTTCTAGGGTCATTCACCCCTAATTCCCATGCTTTCTTAAGAAAATTGCACACCTTGAAAGCAAGAGCTGATATAACTCCCCACATGCAAGCTTGCCCTGCTTTCTCTGATGAACCATTTGCCATCTTGATCCTCCATTCCACTTTCTTGTTATCAGCCATGTTTTTTTATCACAAGATCTAAGTAGAATAAATGGTTACTAAAATATGAATGTGCAATTGTGCATAAGAGAGAATGTGACTGTTGAGTATGCATACACATAGTTTATATATAGAGACATGTGTTGCAAATCTCACTCTCCGGCAGTATAAGACAAAACAGCATATTTGTAACGTCTTATAAATAATCAGTATATTCTTTTTTTAGTAGTGAGGATTTAGATTGTTGGACAATTGACACAAATGGTTTACATCTTCTCTGTTTTTCTCTGTCATACACATGCACACGCGTGCACAAAAAGGCATACACATACATAGTATAACATTAAAACATACATGTGAACCAACCATTCAACAAGCAACATGCAAATTGTTATGAATCTTTTCTTTTTCTTTTTATTTTTATTTTTTTGGTTACATGTTTTATATCATAGGCAACAATACATATACAATAAGCCTTTTCTATAAAAGTTTCATAATAGAATTGTACAAATATCTCGAAATGGCTAATTATTCATAGGTCACAAATGTTGTTACCCTCTAAATTAATTTTAGTTGCATGCATGTATTGCATTAGCTGAATGATAGTGATAGAATAAAAAACTTAGCAACTTGTGGGCGCACTCATATTTTATAATATGAGATATATCGTGCAAGTCATGAAGCACTTGCATGTAAATTGTATAATAAGCCATCAAGCTTTTTTCCTTTAATACTGACCTAAAACCAAAATTCGTGGCAGCAGCTTATTCAATTTTATATCTATAATATATCTAAATCTGGAAAAGCTTGAACAACAGAACAACATCGTGCCTTGCAGCTATGGTCCACCATAGCTAGCATTTCTTCTGTTAAACCGCATATACTTTTGACTTGTTTCTTAGTGGCTCGATGATTAGATTCCTTCCACTGTTGCAGCATTAGGATAAGAAAGTTAGGAATTAGGACATGGGCACCACACTAAGATCTTAAAGAAGCTCTCTCTGTCTCTGTTGTTGGTCCTTCACAAATTAACTGAATGAATTAGGTCATGAATAGGATGCTTCCTTTTTTAAAAAAGCTTTAAACATTTTGAGACAAAGGAGAGTTGTGGAATTTAAAATTGATAATTCCATATTTGTTTCTTCTGATAGCACTTTGGAGCACTTATCTCCTCCAACAGCATTGAACTCTTACTGAAATGACAAACCAACTATCAACAATTTCTTTTAGTCTTTTTTAAATCATCCGGTATTCGATTGACAATGAACACCCACTAATCTGGATTTGTGCCACGTAAAACTATAAAGGGTGGTAAAATTTTCCCTACTAAATTTTAAGGTAGCTGTATATTCAGGACTCGAACTCAAACTATAAAAATTTTCTTCTAATATGTGTCATTTTTTATTTGGAGATATTTTAATTTATTTATTGCTTTGCGACTAATCAGATTCGAGGCGGGTCTCAAAATTAAAACTTTAAATTTGAAGAATCAAATATATGCTCTCATCCCAACCTACTCAATTTTCTAATGTCAACCGAATTACCATCATTTGTTAACGTTAGCCTTAATCCAAGGTTTAAATTTGCAGTTGCACCAATCATAAATATGTAGACTATTTTATTTTAGCTTTCCCATTGGAAATGCTTTGTACTTGATTCGTATGTGTCCGTATTAGTGCGGACGATCGAATCATTATCTCTTCTGACGTCTCATATATGTTTTTACTTTTTCATAATAAATTGACTGGTTACAACAAGGACCATATCCCCATTAACATAAAATATTGTGCTCGTACTCTTTTGTTTTTTTTTATTGTGGAAAACTTCTGCAGAAGCAGGATTGCACATCTATTTACCTAATATTGGTACCATAACATGAAAACATTTGAGTGACTGATGACGATGACCATCAATTAAAATATCACCTCACAAAGAAAGAAACTTCAATTTGTCACTTGAAAGTTTAGTTGCCATTCCAATTGTATATAGGTCATTCTAATTTTATGGGCATTTTGGAATAAACATAGATTCATAAATTTTTGCCCTGATGCTTTTACCTTAACATACATGATCATATCCAAATATGACTATGATAAACTAAAGAGTTGTTAGTCTAATAGCAACCCAACTAGATCCTAGGACTTGACCTGCCCAAAGGGTAATAAATTCAATTCCTGGGGAGGGTGCAGAGGCACAAATTCGAAATTGGATTAGTTAAGTCTATTAAGATTTGATATTTACAAAAAATAAAAAATAAAAAATGACTATGTTGTTGCTGGCTCTAACCTGGGGCCACTGGCGGACCTAGGTGGGCACTTATGTCCGCAAGTGAAGACATAAGATTTTGGATTTTAGTTTTTTGTTGTTGTTGTAGCTATGTAAATCTTTATTTGTCTCTTGGTTCAATATTTATATTAAAAGTAAATATCATTTTAAGTTCCTAACAAAAAATATAATTCCCACTTTAGTCCCTTATAAAAAATTAGTCTCGAGGAGGTCCCTAAGAAATTCAAAGTGGATTAATTTAGTTAAAATCGTAGTCCTACACAAATTCAAAAAAGACCTGTATTATTCCCTCAAAAAGACTAAAATGAGTCCACTTTAAATTTTATAGGGACCAAGTGACTATTTTTTTATAATGGACTAAAGTGGGGACCGAATTTTTTGTTAGGGACCAAATAAGATATTTATTCTTATATTAGTTAGCAACGTAGCAACGTACAGAGATGATTAATACAACGTAGCAAGACAAATTGAGTAGAGAAAAAACTTATTCTTCCACCCGTGTCATGTACCCATTCCCATAATTTCTTCATCCTTTGTTATGGAAGTAACTAGATTATGAACGATTCAAGCGTTAATTTAAACTTTCTTTACAAAAAAAAATATTTCGGCAGCACTGCCCCCGAACCTCCGCCACTAAATATGCAGACATAAAGAAATTTTTCTGAGTCCACCAGTGCCTGTGGCGAATAGAAACACAAGTTGACAACCTTCATTTTCAAAGTCCACTCAAGCAAGAAACTGCCATAGAGAGCAAGGCGGAGGAGTCAACATGCAAAATACCAAGTTAATCAATCTTTTATCTTCTTACGTACAAATCATAAAATGAAACAGCACAAACACTAGGGAAGAATTTGTGGTTAGGCCAAGTGAAATTATCCGGGGTTCAATGAATTATTTTACAGATACAGAAGCAGAAAAGCAATCAGGTGAAAAATAAAATGCAGGTTTCATTATCTTGATAATCAGTGTAGTGCAATGCCTTGAGAGCTCCCAATATATAGGAGAGAATAAAAAGTAATAAACTCCCGTGAAATACGCAAGTGAGGGAGTCAGCAATAAAAAAAAAGGCAAACAGCAGATAACAGAAAAGAGTAACAAACGAAAAATTACAAAATGGGAATTGGTAACTGTGTATATCTGTTAATACCCCCCTTCAAGATGGAGAGTGGATATTTGTAACTCCCATCTTGGAAAGAAGAAAGTTGAATTGTGAGGGATGAAGAGCCTTGGTGAACAGGTCCGCAAGTTGGTTGTTGGAAGAAACATGGAAAGTCTGCAGTGAACCTTTGGAAATGTGTTCCCTGATGAGGTGACAATCGATTTCAATATGTTTTGTACGCTCATGGTAGACGGGGTTGGCAGCAATGTGGAGGGCAGCCTTGTTATCACAGAACAGGTGTGCAGGAGAGGGATGAACAATGTGAAAATCATGCAGTAAAGAGAGAATCCAGATAACTTCACAAGTGGCATTGGCCATAGACCGATACTCAGCTTCTGCAGAAGACCTTGATACAGTGGATTGTTTCTTAGACTTCCAAGAAATATGAGAGTTACCAATGAAAGCACAGAAGCCAGAGATGGAGCGGCGGGTATCAGGGCAGCTTGCCCAATCAGAATCAGAAAAAATATTGAGTTGTAACGCAGATTCGGACGAGAAGAGGATACCTTGACCAACTGTGTGCTTGAGGTAGGCTAGAACACGATGGGCAGCCTGTAAGTGGGGAACTCTAGGAGCAGATAAAAATTGACTGAGTCGGTTCACAACAAAGGACAGGTCTGGTCGAGTAAATGATAAGTAAATCAGCCTGCCAATAAGTCTTCTAAAAGGAGTGGGGTCTGGCAGCAAGTCACCAGTATGTTGGGAAAGAGTCAGGTTTGGTTCCATTGGAGTAGATTTGGTCTTGCATCCAGAAAGACCAGTGTCATGAAGAATATCAAGAATATATTTGCGTTGACTGAGAAAGATGCCTGTGGATGACCGAGCCACTTCAACACCAAGGAAGTATTTAAGCGAGCCAAGATCCTTCAACCTGAAGCAGCTATCAAGGGAAGAAATAAACTGCTGAATAGTGTTAGAATCATTGGAGGCAACAATGACATCATCAACATAAACAAGCACAACAAGCATAATTGTGCCATTATATTTCAAAAAAAAGAGTGATCCGTTGCAGATTGTGAAAAATTCATTGAAAGCAACGTGGAACTAAGCTTCTGAAACCATTGGCGAGAGGCCTGTTTGAGGCCATAAAGAGATTTCCTTAATCGGCAAACTGGATTTGGAGGAAGTGACGTGCTGTGACAACCATAACCAGGAGGCAATTTCATATAAACCTCCTCACTGAGATCACCGTGAAGGAACGCATTATTGACGTCCAATTGGTGATGAAACCAACCATGAATTGCAGAAAGAGCAAGAAGTAGGCGAACGGTGGTAGGCTTGATGACAGGAGAAAAAGTTTCAAAATAGTCAATGCCTTCCCTTTGAGAGTAACTTTGTGCAACCAAGCGAGCCTTGTACCTTTGAAGAGTGCCATCAGCATTGCATTTGACGCGGTAAACCCATTTGCATCCAATATCTGATTTACCAGGGGGTAGGGAAACAATATCCCAAGTCTTGTTCTGCTCAAGAGCAAATATTTCATGTTGCATAGCAGTACACCATTCGGGTAACTGAGAAGCCTGGGAATAATGAGATGGTTCATAATGGGAGGACAAGGTGTTGATAAAAGCCAAGTGAGCAGGGGAAAGATGATGATAGGATAGAGAGTGGGACATAGGATAGCTGTTGTGGTAGAACAGGCATAGTCCTTAAGGTAAGTAAGGGGGATGAGTGGCTCTTGAAGGACGTTTGGGGACAGCAGCAGTGGTGAGTTGAGTAGGTAGGGATGTATCAGGTATAGAAACAAGAGGAGTAGAAGATACAGGAGAAGAGGCAAATGGAAAAACAGATTCAAAGAAAACGACATCCCGGGATACAAAGACTCGATTGGAATTGAGATCCAGCAGCTTATAACCCTTGTAACCAGCTGGGTAACCAAGAAAAACTGCAGGAAGAGCCCGAGGGGAGAACTTGTGTCTATTGCGGGTAAGTGTGGAGGCATAACAAAGACAATCGAAAACACGAAGGTGAGAGTATTTCGGCGGCTGTTTGTAAAGAAGAGTAAAGGGAGTATTATTGGACAAAACAGGAGAAGGTGTACGATTAATAAGATAAACAGAAGTTGAGACACACTCCTGCCAATAGGGGAGAGGGAGATGCAATTGGAAATGAAGAGCACGAGCAACATTTAGAATGTGTTGGTGTTTACGTTCGACCACAGAATTTTGTTGAGGTCTATCGACACAGGAGTGAAAGACTGCAATCCCTTTAGATGAAAATAAAGGAATGTTAAATTCAGGTGCATTGTCAGAACGGATAGACTTGATGGACACACGAAACTGATTCATAATGGATGTATAAAAATTAGTGAAAACTGAGGAAAAATCAGATTTGCATTTAAGAAAAAAAAATCCAAGTGAAACGTGTGCAATCATCCACAAGTGTAAGAAAAAACCGAAAACCATCAATGGAGACAGGGGTGAATGGGCCCCAGATGTCACAGTGGATTAAGTCAAAAGGTTGAAGAGATAATTGTGGATTTAACAAAAATGGTAAACGCTTTTGCTTAGCTAAAGGACAAATATTACAATGTAAACTGTCAGAACAAGAACTCAAATGTAAAAATTCTTTCATTGATGATAAGACTGGTACAGAGAGGTGACCTAGTCTAGAGTGCCATAAGGCAACATTCTTTTGAACAAAAGAAAAACAAAGGGGTGGGGGAACATGATTTGTGGGGAGAAGAGCAGCAGAATCAAGGATGTATAACCCACAAACCAGATTAGCAATCCCAATCATTTTTCCCGAGAGACGTTCCTGAAGAAAACAATGGGAAGACACAAAATGAGCAACAATGTCAGTATGACGAGTAAGAGCACCAATGCTCAACAGATTAAAAGAAAAAACAGGAACAAATAAAACATCAGTAAGGGTGAGAGAATCAGAAAAAAAACAAGACCCCTTGGAGGTCACCGGAACAACCGTTCCATTGGGAAGAGACACGGTGGATTCATATGTGGAAAGGGTGTGTGCTGATGATAAAGGAACACAGGAGACATGATGAGTAGCTCCGGTGTCCAGAACCCAGCAAGAAGAAGGCAAGGAAGAGGGGAACTCACCACTGAAGCTGGCAACGGTGGGGTTAATATCGAGATTTGGGGAAGGCGGTGGAGAAAAAGACGGTGAGGTGGGGTTCGATGAAATTAGGGTGAGGAGTTGTTGGTACTGATGTGGTGTAAAGGAATGAGAATGGGAGGATGAATCAGCAATAGCTGAAACGCTGGCGTTTGAGTGAGGGGGTAGATTGGGCCTGGTCGATTTGGGCTTATACCATGGTGGGTAGCCATGCAACTTGAAACATTTGTCTTTAGTGTGGCCCAAACCGTTACAATGGGTGCAGAAAGGGCGCTGACGGCGTGGAACTCCCCCAGTGGCAGCAGCAACGGAAGGTGGAGAAGCTATGTACGGTGGAGGAGCAACATCATGAGTAACAGAGACCGAGGATGTAATCTCCCTCTGTCGTTCTTCTTGCAGAACCAAGGAGAAAACCTTGGACAAAGACGGAAGGGGATCCATGAGAAGGATCTGTGCCCGAATCAAAGAGAAGGAATCATTTAAACCCATGAGAAATTGCATGGCATGGTCCTGGTCACGATCACTGGTAATGGACCGTAAAGCACCACATGTACAAGGATAGGAAGGGGAGTAATCAAGAAGCTCATCCCATAAAATTTTCAAACGGGTGTAGTAAGTGTTTATGGAAAGGGCACCCTGATGCAGAGATGAGATCTGGAGTTTCAATTGAAGAATACGAGGGTCGTTAGCTTGGTGAAAGCGATGACGAAGATCGGTCCAGATGTCATAGGCATTGGTAAAATACATCAAGCTATCAGCGATATCCTTGGAGACTGAGTTCAGAAGCCAGGAAATGACCATGGAATTACATCGATTCCAAGCATGAAACAGAAGATGGTCCTGAGAAGGACGAAGGAGAACACCATCAACAAAGGATGATTTGTTCTTTGCTGTAAGAGCTATAAGTGTAGCTCTGGACCAGGAGATGAAGTTCGAACCAGTGAGGGAATGAGTGACCAGAATCAAACCGGGATGATCACCATTACTGAGATAGTAAGGACTATTGGTGTCATCAACGGATTGAGATGGGCCAGAAGAACCTCCACCATTGGGATTAGAGGTATTACTATTAGCACTGCCACGAGCCATGGAAAAAGGCCAGAGCAGTGACTAGGAAAGAACTGTTAAATCTGATACCATTTTACAGATACAGAAGCAGAAAAGCAATCGGGTGAAAAATAAAATGCAGGTTTCATTATCTTTATAATCAGTGTAGTACAATGCCTTGAGAGCTCCCAATATATAGGAGAGAATACAAAGTAACAAACTCCCGTGAAATACGCAAGTGAGGGAGTCAGCAATAGAAAAAAAGGCAAACAGCAGATAACAGAAAAGAGTAACAAACGAAAAATTACAAAATGGGAATTGGGTAACTGTGTATATCTGTTAATAAATTACAATGTCAAACTGTTGTAGCGTGTTAATTACAGATGTACCTAGCAATTCCTTGACACATGATTTTGCACCTCACATTTCTTCACCTACATGGACACAAATATCACCCCGTCGTGGCTAATTGTATCCTATTACTAATCTCTTATCTATGTTCATGCCGATCCAGATTCAATGTGATGGTTCCACATTCAATGCTCCAAGTGTTTCTGAACTTGAACTGTGTCAATCAGTCTTCATGACCATGGGAAGTAAACTCCTTCAATAGCATTACTATGCTTATAATCAGTTCCAAATGTGTTTGCTTGTTGTAGAAGTTCTCTAAATACTTCTATCCTTGTTACAGGTCTCTTGTCCTTCTGCAAAATGGAAAAATCAGTATTATTAGCTAGGATGTGCTTGAAAATTTTGAAGATGCAAATTTGGAATGGCGTGGGGTGAAAAGCATAAAAAATACCACTCTATTGTTAGAGGGTAATGAATTATTAACTTAAGTACTGCTAGTACTATTTTTTAAATCTAAAGTTTAATTCTTATATGAGTCAATGATAAAGCTTAAAACAGATTATTCAGCTTAAAAAAATTTAAATCAACTTTAAAAATATTATTCTATGGGTAAAGAACCTTGAGATACACCACCACCCCAAAAGCTAGCTCAAAGGGTGGGAGTGCCTAAGGCCTTATAAACTCCACATTAGTTGCTCATACAACCAATGTGGGACTATATATATATCTCAACACTATGATTTAATAAAAAATTGTAAATGTTTAACAAGAATAAAAGTATCTAATACATGTTGTAATATTATGACCAAATATTCAAATCCTGACTTTTTTACACATTCAAAAGTTGATTTCATTGTGCACACAGAGTCCATTTGTGGGGTGTATTGTTATTAAAATGCATGAAGCAGACAATACAAAAGTGCACAACCTTAGTGACAAGATATACTTGAGTAAAATCTTTCTGGTTCTATGTCAAAAAATACTTTATTCGGAGGGTTCAAGTGCTTGTACAAAAAAAGAGAAAAAAAGAAAACAAATCATGCATATTGCTCTTGTTGGAATGGTTTGAGAAAACAATGAGAGAGCAAGAATGGTTAAGGTTAAAAATGCAACTAATTATTCAAAAAAGAAGACAAAATTTTTTCATATCAACCCCCAAGAAAAAATTTAAAGATATAACAAGTTGATAGATTTGACGAGTGGGTGGAATTGTTCCCCTTCTTAGTCATTCTATTCTATCAATGGGAAAACTCCCAAACAATGATTTATTTCATGGGAAGAGATCCGTTAATCTCTTGTTTTGATATGCCCATATCAAGTTAAAACTTCGAGTCATTAAGCCACTAGAATTGGTCTAGTAATAATGAATTTGGGAAGTTTATATTAGGTTATGTATTCAATTCCCGCCAATGTATAAAAAAAAAAACTTCAAATCATTCATTCACATATCAATAACCAAATTCATAAAATGAATAAGAAAAAATTATGATTTTAATGGCCGACCATTGATACATGAAAGAATGGGTGAAATTTTTCTGATCTAATTAATTGGATCCATTCTATCATTCCAATTACTCTGTCTATAAAAAAGGAAATATAACAGACAAAACCAGAAAGGATAGAGAGAAAAAATTGCACTCACGTCACCCCATTTAGATGTTGTGTTTTAAAACCTTTTTTTTTTTTTTTCTTGGTAGATAAAGGTATCCCCAGGGTAGGCGGTTTCCCTGACCAAAACAAAATCCTTGACCACTTAGTTACCAATTGAGCTACCATGGAGGTTGTGTTTTAAAACTTTTTAAGTAACAACTAACCTCAACTTTAACCTCAACAATAAAGTGCGCCCATATTTTTTTCTCCCTGGTTTCCATGTTTCCCTTCACGATTTTCAGCCCAATCCCCTTAATTTTGTCCACTATCTCAAGTAAGGAACCCCGCTCCTCATAAAGCATCTGCAAATGAGCAATGCCAAATTGCCAATGAATTCACTGTCATCAAATATAAAAAGAATAGCATATTGTATGTAAAGTGTAAACTAACATTCTCATATTTTCTTACCTCTATAAGCATTACGCCTGGTGAACCCATGTCCTCCACTATAATTGGGCACACCATCGTTTGACTCGTCATTTCAAATGCACATGTAACACCACCACCACCACCACCATTTATGCTATCTCCTTCCCTAGTGTCTTTTATGAGCTAAAATTCCAAGCAAAAACAATCATATTTGATACTGAATGATGAAGAATTAAAATGCTTAATTTTTAATTTTTTTTTTCTTTTGACTATAGGAAAATGATTTAATTAATTAATTACCTTAGGCTCACAGGGCTCATGTATCCTGTCTGCATGCTTGGTGATGCTTTGCAAGAAGACCATGAAACTGATGGTGCGACTTAACAAAGCATCAATGCTAATCTGTTTTCATGAAAGCACATGTCAATATGTTACTGACTAAATAAAATAAAAGTCAGCAGCAAAAATTTCTGCTAATAAGATTTTGAATAAATTTGACACAAATCACAAAGGTTGAATTAGGGGAATATAGTTGAAATGGGAAAATTTCTATCATATAGAATATCTACGTGTTATCATAGGGATGTTTGAAGTACATTCAAGAATCTCTACTTGTTATCATAGGGACGTTTGAAGTTAGCTGAGTGGGTGGGGAAGGAACTCGATCCCCACTAATGCCATATGGGGAAGAGGCATAAAACCTTAATCCTTGACCTGCTCGCATTTGGAATTAGTCTCATAGTCAACTCAAAGAGTAGAAACTTATGGGGATACCCAAAGGAGCCTACTCGTCTCAAAGAGATAATTAGGGTTGATATCCAAAAAATAATAATATCTACTTGCTATTATAGGTAAACTTACATTTACCTTTGTACCACAGTTGGGGATGGTCATTCGCAACTTTTCAATGCGTTCTTGAATCAGCTGACGATCTTTTGGTCGGGGTCTAGTTGTCTCCCCTGGCTTAGCCCTCTTCTTAATGACCTTATTGGGTTCCACTGGTTTTTGAGTGTATGTTGGAACAACCTTCCGAGTGTTGCCATGTCTATCATCAATCCTCAAGCCTCCTACCTCTGGTTTTTGGAATATCTCTTTCTTGGGTACAAGTTTGCTTATCCTGTCCACTTTAGAAACTGGCTGCAACAAGCCTACTCTAGAGCTCCTAGACAAAGCAAGACTTGGCAACTGAATTGGATTTCTGTTTACAGTTGAATGTTCTATCTTCTGCTTTTTATATGTTGATAATTGCTCCTTATAAATATTCAAAGCATTGGAATTGGCTTGACCATTCAAAATCCCATCAAGTCCTAACTCTGAGAATAATTTTTTCCTGGAGCCACTAGCAACATTCAACTCAGATTTGCTAATAGAGAAAGTAGTATTAGTAGCAGCTGTACTCACCATTGGTGTAAGCATATTGGCCCACCACTCATCAATTTTGTCACATGTCAAATCAAGTCCCAAGCTATCAAATAAAATATTTCCAGAACTATGCATAACTGTGGATGCTTGTTGATTATCCAAGTTGACTGTATCTGCTATGGAATTATGCACAGTTGAACATGTAACTGGAACATTACCAAAAACACTACTATCAACCAGACTAGAAGAAATGGGATTAAATTCTTGTGACTTAGAAAGTGTGTTATTCAATGCAGTCACTGTTAAGTCAATACTATCATCTGGAGAAAGAGCTAACAACTGGCTGAGATCATCTGCGGAGAATAACTCAGGAAATTCTTCAAAAGTATCAATTGGCTCTAAGTTCATAGACGGTCCATTTACCTTACTTGAGCTATCAGGAAAATTAACTTCTGACAAAATGCTAGATTGAACAGAAAGTTGGTTATCAACTGAATTTCCTAATTGGTTTGGAAATGTTATTGTTGGGTCTAACAGTCTGTTCATGCCATACAATGAGGTCAATGCTGGATCCTCAGCTGCAAGTTTGTCATAAGAAAATGCATTTGCTTCTTTGCAGTGCACATCTGCAATATCTTGAGCATTTATTTCAGATACCAATTGTTGGCCTAGTGTATCATCCAATGATGAAATTTCGCTACTCCATGTACCAAAACTGGGGTTTTCATCAATAGAGTTGTTCATAGAAGAACCTGGCTTCAAAATCATAGTAATATTATCCCTATCTGAGGATAGCACTTGAGCTTCTATGGCAGGGGTCAATTGGTCACCTAGACAAGAGGAATTTCCATGCATGTGATTCATCCCTTCTTCAAGAATGTTATACATTGAAGGGAAGGAATCATCAGGATTTGCAGAAGAATAAGTGTTTCCCATTAGCACTTCAGAGTTATCACAATGAACATATTTGAGATTCCCGTCATATAAATTTTCAGCGGAAAATGAAGCCAACAACCCATATAGATCATCATCTTCACTATCCGGAGAGAGAAGTGTATTTGCTGATGAACTAAGAACTCCCTCATTTTCTATCCCAGTGAGCAATCTTTGGGTTTGTTCCAAAAATCCTATTCTCTCCATAATCTGCAACAATGAAAACATCAAAATCCATTAGCACTCAAGCATGCTGTGGTGGATGTATACAGTGGCAGAGCCACGTTGAGACCAGTTGGGGCCTTGGCAGTGGCTGGTTTTCAAAAATAATATATGTAAAGAACCAATTCAACCCAAAAAGTTGTTGGGTGAAGTTATATTAATGGTTTTATATTTTTATATATCTCAACACGCCCCCTCACACGAAAGCGCCACATTGAGACCATTCAACCCAAAAGCACGAAAGTCCAATGGGCTTGAAGGGTAAACAATGCACAGAGAAAGTGGAGGGGGCGATGAGGATCGAACCCGGGACACACGAGACTCTGATATTATGTAAAAAGCCAATTCAACTCAAAAACTTAAGTTGTTGGGTGAGTCTATATTAATAGTTTTATATATCTCAACAATTATTATACAGCTTTGGCGTTGGCTGGGTTTCGAAAAATGGTACAATTTTGGCACTGGCTAAGTTCTACCTAGCTGGGTTTTTTGGCACGGTTACAATTATTTCCTGGCTCCTCACTATATATGTATACGAACATTTTATATAAAATATAACTTGGTAATTATCAGCTATGATGGAAATAAAATTGAGAAACGACATGTGAGTTAGTGGAAATTTAGTGGTAATTATCAGCTATGATGAACCAGGTCTTTTGAGGGGTCGGTTTAAATGTTTGTATGGTGGTTTCTGCCTGCGTAATATTCCGTGATATAAATATTTTGTCCTTAATGGGAATAAGAAAAGGAGTATTAAGGACCAAACCACCAGTCTAAAACAAGAATAATGAAATAGCTAAAGTGAAGTGAACATGCCAACTAGCATCCTAACTTTGGAACAACTGGTTCAACTACATCACAGATATGAATCTCTTTATATTCATATCCAAAAACTTGCTTCCTGTATTGAATGTCAGGTCTAAACCTATTAATAGTCATCATTATCTATTAATTCAAAGTTAATGTTATAAACTAATATGTCATGTTCATAACCTCATACCCTATGACATAAATTTCAGGCCCTTTTTTTATACTAACCTTCTTTTTGGACCCAAATTGTATCACCCCCGATGGTTTGTCTACGGATATAACCACAATTGTCTGCAAATTAGAGAATAGTTGTTCAATGTACAATGTCCAGCACTTCGGAAAAAATTGACAATTAAATAAGTGTATTTGAGAAAAAATTTAGTGATCCAGAACCACCGAACTCGGTGATCCCTTTTACTAAAAGAGGGAAAACAAGGTAAAAATATATACTTTTTTTTCCCTTTTTAGTAAAACGGACCACCGAATTCAATGGTTCCGAACCACTAAAATTTTTCTCAATATATTTCGTATGTTACAGTGACAAATACTACACTTTAACCAAAGAAATTGTATTTGAGCATGTAAAGAAATCATGGAAATAGAAGATATGGAAAAATGTGAGGCTTTGAGGTTCAATTATCAACAACAATTCCCTTCTTGGTGCTTTGTAGTACCTTTATCCCAGAGGAGAACTGTTGATGCAAATCAGAATCAACTTGCTGAAAATAAAAAAAATAAAAAAAGAAGAAATTCTCAAGTAATAAGTGAACGAAAAGACAAGAAATGTTGAGAAGTTGAAATGGTAACTACAAAACAGTCAAAATTATTACCTCACAGATAGTCAAATTGGATTCTTCAGTTTGATGATCTGAGTGCATCCATCTGTACTTGCCCGTGGAAGCAGTTTGACCAATAATTCTAGAAAGGACATAACAACTGAATTAGCCCTGTGTCCTTTCATTGCCATACATATATGCGTTTAGGCTTTACTTAAAAAGAATCTCTATGGTGAAGATGCAATTGGAAAATTTTGAGATCACACTTTGCCTCATTGGTTAATTTGGTCCATACAATAGGGTCTATCACACGTGAAACTAAAGAAGCAATAATAGAAAAACAAACATGTATGGTAAATAATAATAAGCATACCCTTCTCCCAACAAGTGAACCTGTGGAAGCTTATTGACTATCCCTTCTGCCAATGGATCTTCATAGTATGCATCTTCCATGTTCAACAACCTGGAGGGAGTTTCAAACATGCAATATCAAATGAATTGGATGATCATTTCTCATTAAAAAAATAAAATAAAAGAAAGAAGACAAGGTTGACATATAATATAATAGAACAAAAAGAAAACAAAAAAGGCTTACGTGGAATTATGTGGATGGAAGCGCCAGAAAACGGCGTAAGACCAGCCATCCAGACAACAAAGTGTCTTGAGCGTATCCCTTAGATTTCTAAGAGCCTCATCCATTGCTATTTGCCATTCATGAACTTGCATATATGTGAACGTTACAGTGCCATTGGCACTCCCTAATAAACGTTTGATACATATATGAAAGGTTAAGATAATCATTTCACTGATAACTGAGAGAGATGTATTCTCCAAATCTTCACCTTTATTGTGTCTTCAAAGTTAATTTAATTTCATTTATCACCCGAATCCTTTTCTCTTTCCATATGATAAATGATTTTAAAATTTTATTTTATGTGTGATCAGGTTTTAGTTGTTCCTATATCAAATATTTGCGTTCATTTAAAAAATGAATATTTTTATTCGTATCAACATAAAATGTGTTAAGGTCAAATAAATTCTACACTAAATAGCGGTAAATACGCCTAAATAATTTGAGTCATGGGGACCTAAACAAATGTACATAGGCCGTACATGGGGAAGATGCGGTCATCATTGTGTTTTAATGAAGGAAGACGCATTTACTGTGAGACTTCGAAAGTTTTATGAGAAGATTATTTGGTATTTGCTCTCAGGATTGTATTATAATTTTCATTATTACGCATAAAAAAAGCATGGCAATGATATAATTACGGGACATTAACATTAAATTTGATTTAAAGATATTCATAAGCTAAGGGTGTTTGGTAGAAGAGAATTTTTTTTATATGGAAGTCACGATTTCTGAGAATATGATAGGAAAATGAGTTTTTCGGGAATGTTACCAAAAAATTATTTGGTAGACCAAAATATTTCCAAAAATATTGGGTTAATTTTTTTAATACTATGTTTGATTATTTTTGTCTGAAAAATTAATCTATATTTTTTCATTGTCTGTAATTCCTGAAATACCACCCTCTAAATAATATTTTTCAGTGATATTTTGATTTAGAAAATACACACAAAATGAAATATTGAGAAAATAACTTTCTCGAAAAAAAATTTCTCTATTATGTGCTACTGAACATGGAATTCTATGAAATTCACCGTCACTTTCCCAGGCACTCCCACTTATAATTCTACTCTTGATTAAGTGTTTTGTGGGAATAATTTTTTTATACAATATCCCTTTTTAGTTTTTAGATCAAAGATTAGAGAACATGCACTCCCAACATATTTTTAATCTAATTTTTAACTTTCCAATTTTTAATCTAATTAATAACGAAAGTAAACATATTGTTTCCATTTTTGCTTGCTGAATCGATTAACAAAGACGAAAAAAGAGAAGGAGAAAAATGAATATATTTATCTTCATTCATTTCTTCATTTTTTTTTTTTGAGATATTCTAATTAGTTCATCGTTTCACAATTAGTTCGATTCAGGTCAGGATTAAAACTTTAAATTCCTCCCAAAGACGATACTGAGAATGATTAAATACATACTCTTACCTCCACCTATTCAGTTTCTTAACACCAATTGAACTACATCATTTGCTATTTCTTCATCATTTTTATCACAAACAATCAAGCTATTTTTGTATGAGGCGATGCCCGTTTGAGCCACCGTTTGCTATGGCAATCCGTTTCTATGTTTTCTTTCCTAACTCACCAACCCCACTTAGGGCTTGTTTGGATGGTTTTTTTTTTCTCCAAAAGTTATTTTTTTTCTTAAAAAAAAGCACTTCTCAATTTTAGTTTGTTTGGATGTCCGCTTTTAAAAAAAGCAAAAGTCACAAAAAAGTCAAAAACCTACTTCTTTTCAGAAGCTAAAAATTTTAACTTCTAGAAAAAACAGAAGTCAAAAGTCAAATATTTTTTTCAAAAATTAAATATTTTTATAAAAATATAAATAGTTTTAACTTTTATAAAAAACACTTCTAAAATAAAGAAGAGATAAAAGTTACTTTTTAAAAAGCCCAAACAAACGTTCTCTTAGTCACAACAATTGACCAAGGCAAGAAAAAATCCCCTATTCATTAAGCCATATAAACTGTTGTTTTCTATGTTCATAGATATAATATTACAAATCAAATAAATTTTGAGTTTTATTTTTACTTTAAAAACAAATTTATCAAACAATATTTTTCTTTAATTTTTAAAACAATTTTCAAAACAATATTATCAAACAAATTTTCTTATTTTTATTTTGAAAATTGTTTTTCATAATCTACTCTAAAAAATAGTTTTAACACTTTATATAAAAAACACAATTAAACATGCCCTTATATACTCTTAGTAGGTTAAAAACAACTAAAATCTTTCCTGGTTTGTGATTCAATTATTTTCAATATTGTGACAGAACTGGAACATGGTTGATTTTAAGCGAAGATAAATTCAATCACTTTTTGAGGTAAATAAAATAAATTTTTAATTATAAGACTCATAAAATTTTGAAAAACAAACGCATATAATCAAATTTTAAAAGTAATTTTACTTTATCATTTAAACAAAATTAATTTTTCAAAACTAATTTGTTAAATTAATTTCAAACACAAGTTAATTATTTTACCATCTGTTTTTAAATAAATTTATTTCAACATCAATTTATTAAAATAAAAATTTCACTAAAATTTAAACTAAACAAATTCCTAATTTCATATATATATATATATATATATATATATATATATATTTATATTTATGTGTGTGTGTGAAAATAATAACATTAAATCCCCATATATGCATAATGACAGCAATTGCATATTGTTAATCATCTTTTATTTTTTATTTTATTTTTTGTAGAATGTTAATCATCTTTTAGATTAGCCAAAGATACCCATTTAAACCCTCCACAAAAAGAAGAAATACCCATTTAACTAAAGAAGATTTAAAATTAGTACAATGATTGCTATTTTGTTATTATAATTAAGGGTAAAACATTTCTCCAATAGATAAAATTATAATTAAGGATAAAATATTTCTCCGGCCAACGGAGATAAGTTATCTCCGGTGAGTACAAAACGATGTCGTTTTGTGGCAGAAATCAAATTATTATTGTAATTATAATTTAGGGAAAAGTATTTCTCCAGTCACTGGATATAAAGTTATCTCCCGTGAGCTCAAAATGACGTCGTTTTGGGTTATAAGATTAAAAAATTATAATAATAAAGACTAAAATAACCCTGGAATATATTATAATTACAAAAACACCTTCATTTTCATCCCAAAACGACGTCGTTTTGAGTTCACTGGAGATAACTTATTTTCATTGACTTGAGAAATCCTTTACCCTATAATTTATTGCAGGGTTATATTAACCTTTATCGTTATAATTTTTTAATTTTATAACCCAAAACGACGTCATTTTGAGTTCATTGAAAATAATTTTATACTTTTGCCTATAATTAATATTAGGAATAGTAAATTGGGAGAAAGAGATTTGTAAGAATTTCAGACATTTATCTAATCATGAACAAATTTGAAGTTTTACTCTACTACTTTTATTCTATTCCTTCTTTTGCGTGATAACTAATAAAAATTTGGTAAAGGAAATTGTTGGAAAAGTTTGTGTAACCGTGACAATGCGAGTTGGTTTCATAACAATATTTGTGAAAATAAGTTGGTAAAAAAACAAATAATAAAATCGGATATAGTTACATATCACCACCATTCTATTTGGAGCTCCAATTTGTTTATCTCCCTTTTGCCGTAGATCAATTAACTTGAATCCCAAATCTTGAACAGAATAGTTTTCAACTTGTGAAGCTGGTTGTAACCTATATACACAAACAAGTGACAATAATACTAACTATGACTAACTAATGATTGGATTTTTAGACTAAAAAATAAAACTAATGATTAAAACTAACTATGACTAACTAAAGGTACTAAAATCAAAAAGCAAAAGTTCACAAGAGATGAGAGAATTTAATTAAAAGATAAGCTAAGATCAATTTATGTGCTACTGTAATCTTGTAATGATGTTATCATTAAGCTATATAAATGCGTCAAATAGTAATTAACAACACACATTTATTTTATGTAGGGACTTCTCCTAACCTTACATGAAAAATTCTAAGTCTAAACTCTCATATTCTTATGTAGAATTAACCTTAAGACTCATTAAAGAACAAGTTTTTAGGTTAAGTGGTGTGAACCGTCCCCATTCCCAACTTGACTAAGTTTATAACCCTAATCAATCCACTTTGTCTAGGGTTTGAATACTTCCGAGCATCAACCCAGCCCCTCATGCATCATGCATATGCTTCCCAGCAAGCACCCAAGATGAAATATAAAGCATACTTATTAAACAACTGAAAAGAACAATGACATAACATAATTTAGACATAAAAAATCGATTACAGCATTGGTACTTTATCACCTAACCCATGACACATTTAGTATAATACCCTGAATAATTAAATAGAGTAATTGGAAATTAATAAGTGATAAAAAGGAAGTTAATTAGATAAAAATCTAATTAGTGAGTAAAGTCACTTTTTTGGGTAAAAGTGCAAAGGAGTAGGATATTGTAACAATCAAGTAGGGTTATTATCAATAATTTCACCGTTAGATTGGTTTTTTGATCCGACGGTCCTGATTTGATCCTTATATACCATCTCTTCCCCCTTCTCTCTCTTCCCTTCTCTATCTGGCTATACTCTCTACCGCCGCCGCCGCTGCTGTCCATAGCTGCCGTCGCGCCGCCACACCCTACCACCTCACCGCCGTTGTTAATCCATGATTTCTAATAAAGATTTCTTGTGCCGGCAGATCGTGACGGTGGTTCATAACTATCACACCATGGGAGTGATGCATATGGACTTGCAGCCTGAGAATTTCTTGTTTCTCAGTAAGGACAAGAATGATTCTTAGGTTATTAAGTGATTTCTATTAAAGGCATTGAATTATGCGGTGGTCTCTCCGTGTTTTTTAAGCCAGATTAATAATTTCTTAACATTGATTAATGTTTCTTGCACTCATTTACTCAAGTAATGGTGTTCTCAACTTGAGGGTTTCGATTTTGAATGGCGATTACATTGGCTATGGGCAGCTGCGGCGGTAAAGAGTATAGCCAGAGAGAGAAGGGAAGAGAAGGGGGATATAAGGATCAAATGAGGACCGTCGGATAAAAAACCAATCTAACGGTGAAATTATTGGTAGTAACATTGGTAGTAATCCTACTTGGTTATTACAATATCCTACCCCAAGTGCAAATAGTGAAAGTTTTAAAATAAAATTGCAATTAAGAAAATTTATCCAAAACTTAAAAATAAATTAACGGGAACCGCCCCATAAATTTTATGAACCCAAAATCACAAGATAAATGCTTAAGTTAGTGACCGAAAGAGAGTTAAATGAGAAGGGTAGATGAGTCTTTACCCATTTAAAAATTTAACTCACTCAAAATATCACAAATCAAATAGTCTCTCTTCATTCTTTTTCTTCATTTCTCGTCGGACAACACCTTCTTTCTCTCTCTCTTGTGGGTCTATTTCTCTTTGGCCGAAAATCATCTTCTTCTCCTCTATGAACCATTCAACCAATTCACTCTATAATCGTTTCGTAACTGTTGCATGATGATATGTGGTATGGAAAACCTTGTTCTATATATATATATATATATATATATATATATATATAGGATTTTATAATTCTCATGTAACATGAGAATTAAAATTTCCCTACACACCTTTGATTTCCGTGTTGATATAGGTTCCACACATGACTTTTTCTAATATATAGATCCCACATACTTTTTATCTCTATGACATAAGAATTCATTTCTCATATAACATGAAAATTATAAAACCCATATATATATATATATGTGTGTGTGTGTGTGTGTGGGAATAAGATATTTGCTTTTGAGGCAGAAAACAAATTCTGCAGCAACAAGCACACAATGTCGATTCTTTTTTTTATATATTTTTATATAATTTTCTCTTTTTAGTTCCATACGACAAACTAGCCACCGACAAACTAACCAGCCTTCATATATAATGTTTCTAAACCATATTGATGCAAAATCATTTTTCTTCCATACTTGTAACGGGTTTGTGTTCTATTACAACCCCCACCTTTATTCCACATCCCATTCTCAAAGTGGTTTGCAGAATGTGTCACCAAAAATTTCAACCCCTTGAACCCTTTAAGATTTCCAATTGTTCTCAAAGTTGTTCAGAATGCATTCATGTATCCATAGAAGTTAAGCTCTGTCATGTTGTAGTATAACACCTCGCATTCCTAAGTTTAAGTATTAAAATATTAAATGAGGATTAAAGGGAAGGATTAGTGAAAATCCTGAAAATTAGGCCAAAATACAAAGAAAGGGCAAAACGGTAATTAGCCAACACGCAATCCTAGGAAGATAAAAATTGAGTAGAAGGTCTCAGATGATAAAAATAACCCTGAAAATGGGTTCACAATGAAAAAATGAGTGGTTAGACAAGTTTCAGAAAATTCAGTGAATAGTGTTTTTACCGGGTAAAAATACTGCGATACAGTTGCACCGTAAAGCGTGTCGATTGAGTTTTGAGCTCTAGGTTTTAAATATGAGTTATAAATGGTCTATAGAACTAGGAAATATGATTTCTGATAAAATTTGATGGAATTGAGTAAGTTTGGGGAAGCGTGCCAACGGCGCGCGCAACAGCTTAAAACAACAATTTCTCCGAACGACCGGAAGACTCCGGATTCATCTGATCAAGTATAATTAAAGGACAATTGTTGATGTTAAAAATTAGAGTTTCTAAATAGGTTGTGAATTTACGGACGTTTAGAGAAATTCGGATTAGTTTTAAATCGCGTGAGGTGGCGATGGGACCCACCCCACTCATGTCCACTTAAGCCACCTAGGATTCACTATTCATCATCCACTTCCTTTCCCTTTGTCCAGCAAGAACCCGCACCACACAGCCCCTCCATGACCCATTTCCTCCAAATTTCCATTTCACCATAACTTGATCATTTCTCCACCAAATCCATCGATTTTTGGCTTGAAACTTGATGGAAAACACCTTCTAAACTCATTGGAAGTACTCTTGAGCCTTTAAAACCATTGGATTTTGAGATATCCTCCCCTAAAGGCCGCGGCTCACTTGCTTAGATTTGTGTTCATGGAGCTTCTAGATGCTCCAATGGTGGAGTATGTTTAGGAGGAGCTTTGTGCCTTGTATTTGGGTGAGTTTCCTTGTATTTAAACGGTTGAATCATCTGAATTGATTTGTGAACCCTAAATAGGGCTTAGTTGATTGATGTGTTTAGAGAGCTCAATTGGAAAATGTTTGCACATGAATGTGTCTTAGAATAATGTGTATTAGCTATAAATGCAATAAAAATTATTGAGGAAAAATGTGGATTTTTTAACTTAGAGAAATTTTAGGTTGTCATGGCTTTGGATTTTGGAAATGTGTTAGGATTAGATTGGTGAGTTGTTGCATGATGGGATGTTGATATAATGAGATTGTATGAGGTGTGGAGTGATTAAAATTGAGTGAGAATCCTTTGGAATTACCTATTTGACAATTCGGCCATGCAGAGAATTTTAAGGATTTGATGTTGTTGGCATGGCTTGGATGATGTATCATGTATTAAATGGTATTTAGATGGGTTGTGTGGTGGTTGGAAAGTGGAAGAATCAATGAAAAATAATAAATGGTGTTGAGAGTCATAAAGGATCCTAGAGTGAGATATTAAGCAAAACGACGTTTAAAAGACGTAAAATGGAAAAACGGCACGTGGTATAGCCTTGTAGCAACCTAAGGAGGTATAATAAAATGAGAAAGAAAATTTAGAATAATAGATTGTGAAATAAGCCTAAGAAGGTCGAACCTACAAGGTATATGGGTGATTTTTGGTGTTTTTCGCGTTTTGATATAATTGTCGTGTACAGACGATTCGTACATAGTTATTGTAGGTTGTCGTACGTCGATTTGAACCCCGAACCGTGAGTCGGTGGATTGCTCTTGGTCCTGGACCAAGTGGGATTAAGGTAAGTGATTGAATCATGCTTGTATAATTGGTAATTGGCATATGTTCGTATGAGTTTTAAGTAATTGAGAATGTCCTCTGTGTTGGCATTCTGTTGAGTAACGAGCTCGGAGAGTATACTGCTGTGGAGCTAAGTGAAGAGGCTTATTAAGGTAACCTCTTGGTACTGGGGCTTGTTCCCCTTGTGTGTTCCACCATACCCGTTGAGGGTGATGGTAGGAAATGTATATGAGTAGTGTAGAATAACATGATCATGCATTTATTATGTATGTTAGTGGTACACTAGATGTACTGAGTCTCTGGCCAGTAGACAGTTTTTGCCTTCGGGCGTTTCGGACTTCCACTGGATAGGTCTCCGAGAGGGAGTTCCAGTTGACCCAGGGTCGTGGTGTGTGATCTGGATAGGAGCACACTAGGAAGTCTCGAGTGTATGTGGATGGGAGGGGTACCTTGGTTAGTTGTTCTTGGAACACGCCTTGGATGAGACCCGTAGGCTTATATGCCAACCCATTAGGCAGGACGTTGTGTGGTATTAGTAGCTACAATTCCAGCTTCGTCGTATTTTGTATTCCTATATTCCCTAGTTTCTCTAAATCCTTTTCTTTATCCCTTTTTGAAAAGAGGTTATTTTATATTATTTATATGCATCGAAGTGAGTCATTGGGCGGAGTTTTCTCCAGAACCTCTGGGTTACTGAGATATATTCGTATATCTCACCCCGTCTTTGGGGCTTTAATTCAGGAGGTAGCAGTGGCACAGGAGCGGCGGGCAAGAGGCCCGTAGAATGAATGTTGGAGGACATTTTTATGTTTTGCATTTTGATGGCCATTGGGCCTAGGATAGACTTAAGGCATGAACATCCCATATGTATGTAGGATGAGCTTCATGTCATATCTGTTCATGCTATTTTTGCCTAAGTCTAGGTACATGTTGTATATGTCATTTTAAGCTTTATGTTTCAAGTTATAATTAAAATTATGAAGTTGTAAGTTGTAATATGTAAGTGAAATGTTGTAATTGTACAATGGATACATGATGTAATATGATGGAAGGGCTTTAGGCCTATTTAAGAATTATAATTATTTGTATGTTAAGAAATTGCATGTAAATGGACATTGGTGATTAAAACAAGTTAAGGATTTATAAATAAGCCATATGGTATAAATTGTGTAATAACTATAAACTGAGTTGGGTTGTAAGTGCCCCAAGGTATTGTTGGTCCTTGTGTGTGCCACCCATTGGTTATTAGGTACATTTGAGGTATTAGAAAGCAATTACAAATTTGGGGATTTTAGGAAAAACAACGGAAACTCTGGCGAATTTTCTGTAGAATTGGCAAATTTAGGCAAACTTTGGGAGGGCATATCTCCCTCCACAGAGGTCCTATAGGGACGTTCCATACTCCATTTTGAAGATTGAGATGTCCTCTATCTTGTGGTAAAATTTGAGATAATTCTGGGTTGGACACCGGCATGGAGAAGGCAGAGAGTGCAGACTGCCCAATTGCTCACTGCACTTGTGGCAGATCTGTACCGGTTTTGGGAAATTTATTCCCGCTTCGTTTCTTAGTCAAATTAGGTGTATGATATATTAAATTGAATATTGAGGTGTCTAGTTTGTTGTATAAAAATTTGAGAGAAATTGGTAGAGTGGATTTTCTGCAGTAATTCGTGGAGTGAAGGATGTTTGGAGCTGTTT